AAGCACAGATAAGCTTTGGTGGAAGTCAATACGATACCCAAGAAGCCAATGTCGAAAGAGAGGCGACAGTCTGTCGCCAAATCCTTTGTGGATAGATGGAGGTAGGACACGGTCATACCTCTTTTTCTGGCAACAGTTTGGTGGAAACTGCCCACTTTGTCACTGGATGGCGTTTTTGTTCTTTTGATCCTGTGTGGTGGGGATCAGTTTGTCAGGTCGAGTGGTAGAGGATGAGAGGGGTTGTTGGTTAGGCGTCGGCGATATCCGAATAAAAGACACCATTAACAGATTTGTCTGTAATCGCGTAGTAACGTAATCAGTTCGTAATTTGTAAAGAAAAGTTACTTTCCATATTTGAGATTTCTTCTCAAGAAATATCGCTGAGAGAAGCAGCTGCAGCTAATTTGAAAAGTGGAGGGCAAGGCTATACACGCTGTCATTGCAAAAAGAAGTGTTCTATGAATAAATGCAGTTATAAAAGCAAAGGACTCTTGTGCAATTCAAAGTGTCACAATAGTTTAAGTTGTTGCAATAAATAAGATTGTATAACGTTAATCACATAATTTATGTGTAAGTTTATTATCGTATTATTTTCTTTTCTGATTAAGAATGTGCTATTCGTTTTAGGTTCAACAGTTTATTTACATGTGCTGTTACTTAATTAATTAAGCTTTCTCCTATTTTGACATATTAAAAAGTTTCATTTTTGTCTTAATGTAATAAAAATATTTTTATTCAACGTTCACCATCAGTGCATACTGAATGTCGACATTTGCCAGTGTAAGTGAGAAACAATGATATTTAGCAAGTATTTCGTTCATACACGAAACGACTGTGTGAATGCTGACATTCACTGGAGAATGTTGACATTCGCCAGATATCGGTCATTCACAGTAACATATGTGTCATGCAGATCATCTTAAAATGATGCACTTATAATATTTATTTAAATAGATAGATAATAAATGTGTAAGCTGTATAAATATGTATTCATCCATGATACCCAGTTTATAAATAATCCCGAGGTATGTTCTAAAATATCTTTACCACTTATATGTATTTTTTAACCTTGTACATCCTGTATGTATTTTTTGTTATATTTTTAGTTGGCCGAAGAGGGGCATGTGTATTTTAAACATGTATCAACTGAACTAAATAAAGATGATAGAATGCCAAGCGTTTGAATTTATTACACTACATAGTGTTTAAGAATCAAACAAAAAAGTATTTTATGTTTTGTTCTCTTCAGTGGCCATTGTTAAGAGGTCTAAAAGCATGACTCTAAAACCCTGGAAGATTTAACTTAGTACAGTAGAGCATCGATTATCCGACCCCCCGATTAACCGTCACATCGGTTAACCGACCATTCTAGTCGGCAAATTTCAAATGTCCGCTAATTTGAAAAGTGGAGGGAAAGGCTATACACGCTGTCAGTGCAAAAATGACAGCGTGTCTGCTAGTGATGTGGCATTACAATATTTGCCTATGTCTTGGCTACTTTAATATTATTTTTGTTAAATTTTTGCATGTTTTAGCTGGCATCAATGGCTCGACCATTGAAGGGAGGACAATATTTAAACAAGACTTAATTTTCTAATTATGAGTGGTTGTTTGTTTCGTGAGCAATAAAATAATTTAAAAATAATTTTTAACTATTGTATCGCTATTGTATCGATTAAAAATAATTTTTAATCGATACAATAGCGATGATTATTATTTTTTAAAAAAATTTGTTAGGCTAAACATCAATGAAAATTCAACGCAAAGTTGGTTAATAGCGATAAACTAATTACACAGGATATACTAATATCCTAATATACTATACTAATAACGTATTTTTTCCTTCTTTTCGGTTATCCGATTTTTTCAGTTATCCGACCAACCTGAGTCCCCAATTGAGTCGAATAATCAATGCTCTACTGTTTGCATCCCATTTGCAGATAACCTGCTTTCATATGTTCTTTTCTTTTCGACATTTCTAAAATTATTAATCAAATATTTTAGAATTAATTTTAACTTATATGAAGATAATTCTAACTACTTCTAAAGCAAATTTTGTAATAAATCTATTAATTTATAATGTTTTTAAAAATAAATTAAAAAAAAAATTCTGGTAACATTTGGTTACGTATAAACAGTACACATCTGAACTTTAAAAGAAATTCCAGGATATTTTTATGCAAACATGAACATTTTTGATCTGCACAGGAGATCTTCTTTAGATTAAAATATTTGGTTACATAAAAATTGATTTATATAAAAATGCAACCTAACGACAATTATCAAGATTTTCAATGAAATAATAAATTTCAGTACTATTGATCCAAAAAGATTTTTAAAGAATAAAATTATTCATTAAAAATCTTTAAATTTTTACCTTTAAAAACTTTAATAAATTATTTTTAAAAATTACTTTTATATAGTTTGTTTTTTAGCAAGTTAATGTTTTAATATTTTATTCAAAATTCATAAAATAAAATATAATATATTAAAACAAAAAAAAACAATAAAAATATAAACAAAAATAAATTTACAATATATTAACTTGAATTTAAATTCCAGTGGAAATTAAGTCAAGTAAAAAAAATCAACTTTTTTTAACAGTATATTTATTAAAACTAAAATTATCTATGCTTAGTCAAACATTTTTGTTTTTTTTTTTTTTTAAATAATTTTCTTGGACAAAAACTTTCCAGAAAAGTATGTGTACAGGTTGTTTCATGAATCTTGGCCAGAAGCTACTCATTATCCAAATGTGGCTCTCAAGTATTTAAAGAGAATAAAAATATATGTTATCTATCTGAGATGTGTTTCAGTTCCTGTTAAATTCATACAAGACTTTTACATACTAACAGACTCATCTTGACTCATCTTTGCTACAGTGCATCACAACAATTCAGCCAAGAAGCATGAAATGAACTGTAATTAAAATTAAAAAGCACAAAACAACATTAACACACAATAATAATAATCAGACTATTAAATATAGAGTACATGTATAAAGCATAAATAGTTAAATATAAACAATACTTAAAAGAGGAAAGAGATCATTTGATCAAAGTAATGATATAGTTAGGGATAAATATTCAATAGTAAAAGAAGTGCAAGAGATAGAAGGTGAATTATATTTACCACGAGGAGAAATACATACAGATGAAGAAATTTAAAAATTAATAGTAAAACAGCATAATGTTGTTTGGAGAAATAAACAATTACATGGTCAATTTCCTAAAAAGTGTTAGATCAGAGTAATATAGATAGAGAGCTTGCGTTTGAATAGATTAAAAAGCAACAAATAGCCCCAAATATTGAATCATTAATATTTGCTATACAGGACCAGGCTGTTATGACACGACAATATCAATGTGACATCTTAAAGGAACCAGTGGATGGAAAGTGTCGCCTATGTGCGACTAAAGATGAGACCACAGAGCATATTATATCAGGATGTAAAAAAATGGCAGGGACTTGTTATGTAAGACGTCATAATAACCTTGTCCAGTACATCTACTGGCGCCTGGCCCGAAAACATAAAATAGAAGTTGCTGACCAATGGTGGAAGGAAATATTACTCCAGCCACAAGTTAAGGAAAATAGTTTGGCCACCAAGATACTATGGGAAATGCCTTCCAAACTGATGTCACTATCTCACAATAGACCAGATTTAATTTATGTTGATAAAAATTGTAATAAAATATTTTTAATAGATATAACTGTACCATCAGATTATAAATTGGTGCTAAAGAAATTGAAAAATTGAGTAAATATCATTTTTTGAAATTGGAAGTTAACTGCCTGTGGAATACACAGATGACTGTTGTTCCAATAGTAATAGGAGCAAGTAGTGAAAAACATAAAGAAATACATAGATCAATTAGAATCCAACATTGATATTAGTATTCTTCAGAAACAGGCAGCTATACACACATCGCTTATACTCAATAGAGTGCTTGGAGATGCTATCTTTGAGGTCAATACAACAGATCAACTCAAGCATGATATACAGCAATCTCAAGGCATACAGCAATCTTCAAATCTGCAGCAATCATGAGATATACATCATTCATTAGTTAATCCAAATTTACCTAATATGACTTTTCAGACTAGTACACAAAGCTCATCTGGAAACTTGTTGAGAAGAGAAAAAGGGAGGAGAAAAGGAACTATTTCATTTAAAGTGCAACTAATACAGTAAAAGGGGGATAGGTACCTTCTTTCCTGTGAGTTAAAGGATGAGGTATTCTTTATTCCAATGTAATTCGTGAATATTTTAATATAATAGTAATGATATAAATAAATAAGAATATATATTTTTGAGTGTTTCATGAAAATAAATATAAAAACTTTTTTTTATTTTAAATAAACATTTTCATTGGATACAATTCATCAGATTTATAAAAAACTACATGAATAAAAAAATTTCAAAACAAAGTATAAATTATTCATATCTGCTCTGTTCAGAACGAAATTAATCTGTATTTGTTTTCAATTTATTCAAATACATTGCATTATTACAGAAAAAAAAAGTAGTTATAAATCATTTCTGATTTAAGAATATAAAATATAGAAAGGAAAATGGTGTAAGGCAATGTAAGTGTTTTTATACAATTCTGAGGACCTATGTTTAAGTCCAAACTGAATCTTTAAAAATTTATCATGGTTAATTAATCCAGATATGTTGAGTCCCATGGATATAACTAACATACAAGGCTAATTTATCTATCTAAGTTTTATTCAGTAGCTGACTGTAACAGAGACAAACATGAATGTAGAACTGTCCTTTTTTGGAGTCAAATGGAGTCAAAGAACAGATTTAATATTAACATTTAACATATAATATTAACAGATTTATTTCTAGTCACTATTCCTTGATTCTTCTAATAGTTTATATTACTTACGTTATTTATAAACTTCAGGACTATAGTTCAGTAACAACTTGTCTAAAACGGAACCTGAATAAAAAGGAGACTTGCCTAANTAATATTAACAGATTTAATAAAAACATTTTTTAATACATATGAAATTGGCTGTTATAGCTGGATGCAAAATATATGAATAAAATTAAAACTTTTTCATTACATAAAAATTATATGAATGCATATGATCTGGATGAAACAGACAAACATGATAGGGCTACAGGAAGGACGGAAGTAGTTTGGCTAAAAGGAGAGAGAAATTGCCATGTTAAGGGAAAAAGCAATCTCTAAAGTATTGCTTTCCCCCCTTTCTTTTCCCATAAGGAAAAGTCTATTGGTTTGGCTTGACAGTGTTATATGTTAGCAGATGATTAGAAATTAGAATTGTATTCATAATGTTGGCTGTAAATAGTATCAACCATGACCAAATCCAACCTATTCTGACAGTCTTGCATGAAACAACAAAAGTAATCTTAGTCAGAAGAATTATTATATAAATAATTATGGATATGATAAAATAAATCAATTATAATGTAAAGTTTAAAATATATTTATGCATTTAAAGAACTGTTTACTCAAATCTACTGGAATAAAATTGTAAGAGTAATAATATAGATGTATTATAAAGAAGATAACAATAATCAAAATATTTATTAGCTTGCCCTTGGTGCTGCTAGCAAAACATCCAAATCAATAGATGTTTTCTCCTGATCTTGTTTAGAAATCATTTGAAGCAAATGACCAGCTGCTTTGTGTTCAGCTGGAAGAAGATTAGGATTATGAACTAATTCTTCTAAAAATTCAATAGTCATTTGCAACAATTTAGGATCACTTTCAAAATCCTGCATAAATAAAAAAAGCAGAAAATATTTATTATGTCTTCCTTTAATTATGAAAAAAGTATGTATAACACGTGTTCATAATTTGAAAGTTACATTACTTGAGAATGTTTAGAAACCCAATGCCGTAATACGTTCAGTACTCTCATAGTAGCAGCAGTACTAATTAAAGATTCTCTCTTTAATTTTGCATTTGGAATCTTCAAATCAGCCCCAACTATTTTTAGATAAATATTTAATATATTAGAAACAACAACAACAAAAAAAAAAAAATGTAATTATTTCTTCATTAATATTTTAAAAGAAAGATTTATTTGACACACCTGCACTTGACAGTCGACTTCCAGCCCTGGAATGAGGTTGAGAAACGGGTTCTAATGGATTAGTTGCACCAGCAGTAGCTACGGCAAAAGCTACTGCTGCAGATGCTGTACTGGATCTAAATAATTTAAATTTGGTTACATTCCTATTATTTCCAAATTCAATTAGTTAGCAAAAAATATAAATAAATTTTTAAAAATTTTTTGCTAGCTATCAGCTAGCTTTAGCTAATTATAGTTATTTTATAGTTATATTCTATAGCTATTCACAAGCTAATAATAATAGAATATTTTTATATTTTTACTGCAAGTTTATGCAGATAACTCATGGATTAGCTGTGCTTTAAAGACAATTAAAATGGAAGCAGGTTATGCAATAAAGCAAGTTATATTCTGATTTTAAATTGCAATTTCAAGCTCATCAAACAGCTTTTCCTTTGTCTAAATTCATTAAGAGCATCTTTAGAAAATGTGACAAATCCTATGTGTACAAAATCTACTGGTAAAAAATGTTTTTTCTAGTAATTTTTCCAAAATGAAATAAAACCTTTTTCCAAAATAACCAAAGATACACAAATATGTAAAAATTTGAGAGTACAGGACAGTTTAAAAGAAAAAGTAACTTCAACTTCACTAATATTCAAATTGTGTTCCTGTGATTAAGAAGGACACAAGAATATTTAAAATTTACTTGTATTTTTCCTCATTTGTGATATTTTGTATAATATATTTTTTTTCTGAGATATTTTAATTTTTTTAAAGTTCTATACACATATTGACATATTGACTAACAATCATATTTTTATGTAATTTTATATCTTGTTAAACATTTTCTAATTAAGGCGTTTTGTTAAATTTATTTGTTTTATTTAAAACCTTAAAACTACTTTTTTTTAATTTACTTTTATAAAAATCTTTATGTTTCAATTAAAGATTTTAAGTATGAATAACATATGAAGTATCCTATTTACTTTTAATTAAATAAATATTTTACACTCAAGATAAAGAAACAAATTATAATTAAATATTTACCTGCGAGTAGAAGCTCTTGAAGATGTCACAACAACACCAGCTTTACTGCTATGTTGAGGAGAATCTGCAAATTGAAAACTGCTTCGAGGGGTCGACAATATTGTAGATTCAGTTTGAAAACTACTACGAGGAGTAGTAGATTGACTGGTACTTTCTGTATCACTACTTCCTCGTTTAGCACCTGTTAGTAAAATGAAAGAATTAAGCAATAATGATAAATTAACTGAAGTTCAATAATTTTTGCTATTATGTATTTTATTGAGATTTCTTAATATGATCTATTGTTGTTATAAAATAATTAAAATAAAATCAAAGACAAAATAACGTTAGAGAGGTTCCAGCCGAAGTTGACACTTTAAACTTGTACACAAGCAGAAGTACACATCTGACGTTTGAACCCCAAGTAAAATACATTGTGCAACATGTTTACATTGGGCTATGTATGCATCACAAGATTTCTTTTAAAATAGCGGATGTACTCAAGAATGACAGTGACCAACAAAGATAAATAAATAAAACTATTTTAAAATGTTTATAATGTGGCCGTCAGCCACGATTGTGTAGATCTTTTGTATATTTTTATTTGAATTAGTTTTAAGTTTCTTTCTATTTCTTTATTCAAAAATTCCTTCTAGAACTTTCTCTCTTAACCCTTCTCCCTTGGGGGTAAGGCTACCAATTCCTGTAACATATGCAAACAAAAGAGGGTGTGAAGCCCAGAGGCAAAATGGGGATAGAGAGGTCAGTCTGGGGAAAGATTCCAATAAGAAAGGCATGAGGAAGGTAGTGCTCCCAAATACAGAAACAGAGTGAAGAAAAGACAAAGAAATAAGAGTAGAAAGGCAAAGGGACTGCAAGGTGCTAAAGGATCAAAGAAAGAAGTTATAGAAAAACGACATTCAATAGAATATCGAGACCAGTAAGATACAAGGAGGTCGATGACGAAAAGGGTAAAGGAATTTTATAAAAGGAGAAAAGGCTCAAGCATGTGTTTGCGTCTTACCCCAAGATACATTGACATAAAAACCCTGGGTATTTCCTGAACTTTTTTTTATCACTTGATCCTTCATTCTTATTTCCCATCCTTTCTATTTTCTTTAGTTATAAAATAGTTTGTAAGTTACTTGTAAGCTAGAGTTAGTTAAATTGTCCCGTGTCTATGTGTCATGAATAAATAGAATTTTGATGGTTAGATAAAAAAAAAGAAATGTTCAACACCTGTGTACATGAGATAATTTGAGGTCTACAAGAAAGTTATGATCTGAATAAACAAAAGAACTGGTTTGTTGAGAAAAATAAAATACATTTTGTTTCTTCTAATTCAATGTCACGACTTGGTGTATTTATTGCCACTTGGCAAATAATTTCATCATCCACTTTTAATTCATACAGATACACGTTTTGGGCTTTCGCCCCTCTTCAGTCTGTTACAAGCTAGTCTGTTTCAGCTATAAATGCACCAAGTCATGACATTAAATTAGAAGAAACAAAAAGAAGAAGACATGGTTTCGACAAATAAATAAAAATACATTTTGTTACAAATTTTTTATCAAAGTTTATTTTATTGTACTATTCTGCTCATGGGATCCAGTACATCTCAATTACGAGCATCACAATAAGATATTTAATAACAAACACTAAATAATTATTTTTGGATTTAATTAGCATTGTGACTACTAATTTATTAGCAGTCACATACAGTGAAAATTTTTTTGAATACAAGTAGCCCTTGGTTTACTTGCCAGCTCAATTTACACTGATTCACAATAATGCCGCTGCGCAATTCGCCATTTCATGATGTAATTCCCAGATTTTCCCTATGCCAGACTGATTTTCCCTATGCCAGTATTGACATATTTACTGAGCCGCGACATTGTACATTCGTTAAAACAAAGATTTTTATTGAATATATTTATTTTTTCTGTTTAATATTATTGGGTATGTATACATTTGCATTAAATTAATATTAAAATACTAAACGTTTAGGTTCCCACAAGTCAAGTTATTAAACTTAATAGTTCAATAAATGTCGTCTGAATTCAGAGCGCTAATGTATGCGAATAGTTTGTATCCCGTATCAGTTCATTCAGGAAAACACCTTACAACACAGTAGCACTTCTGGTGATTACAAATTATCATTAGTGAGATTAAATCTACTTCTTGTTGGCTAGACGATATCTAATTCTCCCAGTGGCGTGCCGTAGTGGGGGCGGCCCACCCCAGGCGGCACTTTTTAGGGGGCGGCAAAATTTCACAATAAACAATAATAATATCTTGTAAAAATTTGAAACATCCTAATCTGTACTTGTATTGTGCCTACAATAGTGCTATTGTCCGGACAGTCTGGGAATGGAATGGGCTCGCCGTCCGGGTGAACTAGTAATTTTTCATCTGAGGAAATCCTGCGAAACCTGTTGACCCTTTTTTTTTTCTTGCTTGTATGATTCATTCACATTCATATACACTAATATCCAATAGAACTATTTTAAACAAGTCGCTGCACTACCACTGAATTTTTCATTGCTTGTTCTGTGACAAAACTGAATTTTGGTCTTTTAAATTGAAATACAGTAGAGCATCGATTATCAGACTCAATTGGGGACTGGGGTTGGTCGGATAACTGAAAAAAATGGATAACCGAAAAATATGAAAAAATACATTATTAGTATAGTTTATTAGTATATCCCATGTAATTAGTATATTAGTATATATCTATTAACCTACTTCGCGTTAAATTTTCATCGATGTTAAGCCTAACAAAAATTTTTTTTAAATCATAATCGTCTCTATTGTATCATTAAAAATTAGAAAATTAAGCCTCGTGTAAATACTGGCTCCCTTTCATGGTCGAGCCA